AACCAAGGCACTTAAGATGGTGTTGGAATCCAACTCCCATCAGCTCCACTCAGCATGGCCAGTGGTAAGGAATGATGGGAGTTGTAGTCCAACAGTATCTGGAGAGCCACAGTTTGCCCAGTTCTTATCTATGTTGCCTTTGTTTTATATGTGGAGTTTTCTGATCAAGCTCAGAAACCCACTGTCACTAATTCCAGTGCGCATAAAACATTATAGGTAACTTGCAACTTACGGGGTATTTAACTTGTACGCATTTAGCTTTACCTGCTTGGCAAAAAAATTAAAAAAAAATTAAAGGGAGAAGACAGAGGGTGGGCATGTGGGCAAAAAAAGTTTGGCAATGTCACCCACCATTGAACCCAATATGTTTTGACGCAGAGTAACCCCTGCGTAAGTTGAGTCGCCTGTACGTAATACATTTGCATATTCATATTTATTCCCTCAACTTTTTCTACACCGTGTGCTAGACCTGGCAATTAATTCATCTTTGCTTAATTGGTTTGACATTGTGACACTGGAAATTGTAGAACTGTAGAGTGAAGTTGCTAAGGCAATCAGCATCTGGGTTAACTCTTGCTAATCTGAACTATTCTGCATTGTAAATAAGAAATGAATGTCCTAAAACTGAAGCTTACAAGGAATAAATCAGAGTACTTTGAATGAAAATGCAAGGCAATTAAGGGAAAAGGAATGTTCTATAAGAGTATCATGTACTGCTAGAGCCAAACCCTGATAATCATCTATGTCCCATAGACTGGGAGTGGGGAGCATTTTTTCAGTCTGAGGGTCACATTCCCTTATGGACAACCGTCCAGGACGGGGGCACATACCAGTGATGGGTGGGGCTAGAAGCAAAGGTGGGTGGGGCAATAAATGCAAATTTTACCTTTGTACAATAGAAGAATTTCTGCACATGCTCACACAGCCCTCTCTGTCTTCTGCCAGCCAAACAAGAGGTATTATCATAGTTCAAGGAAGCAGTGCCGCCAGGCTAAAACATATAAGGAGAGTACAAAGAAGGGCTCTTAAGGGATTTAGCATGGAGAAAGGGTGTGCGGCCTGGGGAATGTTTTGAGGGCCAGATAGAGTGGCCCCTAGCATAGACTTTTGTGGTAGAAAATAGTAACGTACTGTAGACTGAAACTGGGAAAATTAAATACATTTCCAGGATCCATTCTTTCTTAGACGATTGCATGGCAAGGATTGTACAGTAACTTCCCTGTTTATAGCAATGGGAATTTGGCTGGATCGTGCTGCTTGGGTATATCTACAGTACAAGCCTCTATCAGTTTTCTTTCTGTTTAAATGTCATAGCTTCCTCCAAATATACTAAGGAATTGCTGAATGTGTTAGAGATCCCTAATGCCACTTCTAGAACTGTATATACCAGATTTTCTTTGTGTGTGTGTGTGTGTGTGTGAGAGAGAGAGAGAGATTGACAGCTAAAACAGCTTTAGTGTAGGATGGCAAGGTAAAAAGGAGGGCAGAGCTCCTATACCAGGGGTACCCAATGTGGAGCTCTCCAGATGTTAGACTACAAATCAGATCAGTCATAGGTAGCATAGCCAGTGGCCAGGATGAAGGGAATCCATCAACATCTGGAGGTCACCAGGTTGGCTGTCCCTATCCTACACCTTTAGCACTTGTGTAGAAGCAGGAATTTCAGTAGGTGTAGCATACCTAACAAGTAGTACACTGTTTGATGCTTTATTTTCTTTGCCATACCTGACCTGTTCATCCCAATGCACCTACAATCATGGGGCACATAATATACATAGAGAACAAATTCAAGGATAAGGCTAAAGCAAGTTGGTTAACCTGTGTCTACTTGGGTTATTTCGCACCTTTTACGTAATTATGTTGGTTTTTGTAGTTTCACTGACTTTTTTTCTTGCTTGTAAGCTGCCTTGGGGATTCTAGAAAGGTGAAATAGAAATGTTTTAAATAATAAAATGTGATAGTTGAGGACTCATAGTTGAGTATAGAGTATTTATAGTATAACTTACATAGTTCAGTTTAGTTGAGTAGGAGCAAAACTCTAGTCCTTAGAAATGTGTCTTTTGTGTGAAGACTTTATTGCATGTTTCGGAGAAGTAGATATTTTTTCAGCTTTAATATTTCCTTGCTATATCTGCTTTCTGTTAACATTATAGCACTAAGCATATTTTCTCAGAAGTAAGTCTCTCTGGGATTTATGCCCCCAAAAAGTGTGTTTAGGATTATAACTGTAGACTTTATCAAATACTCAGTTTGTGTTTGCAGATTTTAGTACAGTCATAAAGGGGAGGAATTTGGAAACTTCCACTTTTGACTAACCAAAGCTTGCTGCGTTGCCTGTATCTGCACGTATCACTAGTATTAACCATGGTTAGCTTAAACTATCCAGCTTCAGTAACTGTGGTTGAAAGTTAGCCTTTCTGAAACTAAACAATTTGGTCTGATGTCAGTATAAGGCATCTTCTTATGTTCCTAATGAGCACAATTCCCTTTTCAGCTGCCCAGAGAACTTTTATGTTAAGTGTCGGCACACAAATAACATAAATTACCATATTTTTCGCTCTATAAGACGCACCAGACCACAAGACTGGAGGAGGGAAGTTTTGGAGGAGGGAAACAAGAAAAAAAATATTCTGAATCTCAGAAGCCAGAACAGCAAGAGGGATCGCTGCGCAGTGAAAGCAGCAATCCATCTTGCTGTTCTGGCTTCTGGGATAGCTGCGCAGCCTGCATTCGCTCCATAAGACGCAGACACATTTCCCCTTACTTTTTAGGAGGGAAAAAGTGAGTCTTATAGAGCAAAAAATACAGTAATTAATTTAAAAATGATGGCTATGCACAGTGGCCAGTGTTTCTGTGTATTCTCCATTCAACTTGTATTAAGCCAGATATATCTAATGATCCAGATTCTGCACAAACCGAAGTATTTTCTTGGAAGCTGTGCTTGCTGGAGAGAAAAAATGGCACCAGGCGGCTTGCATTTGTATTTTGGCAGGGTGTGCTTGCTGGAATGGATTGCTCAGGGAATGGAATTCAACTGCCAAGGTAGCTTTGAAGGTTACATAATGACTCAACCGAGCTCAAAAATGGGGAAAAAATATGTAGGTATGTATATGCGGGATAAGACTGTGCTGGCTGCTCCAAGAATCAGAACAACCACATTTGTGTTGGAAAGAGTCTGCTGGCACTTAATGTATTTGCTCAATTGGTTACCTGGCCCCAAAGGATAGCTGAATTCTTTCTTTATTTGAAAAGAGAGAGAGAGAGAGAGAGAGAGAAAGGAGGATTTAATGGAAAAGGCATGCAAATTTCTAGCAATAGCATTGTAAGCAGCGTAACTGCAAAGAACCCACAGCCTCGCCCCCGCCCCCCACCAGTACTGAAATGCAGGCGGCCTTGCTTTTATGCCGTTCAGGGTTCCCTGTTGACAGAAGCTAGTTAAACAGTCTGTGGGCTGCAGCCGTCAGCCCTCAGCCATATCTCTCGTGTTGTGACTTGAATCAGTTCTCCTGTTTCCTGCTGAAATCTCTGTTCCAGCCACGCTGCCTTTGAGCGAGCCAAACAGTGAGAGTTCAGCGTCTCACTCTTAATATCCTGTGGAAGGAGACTGGACGAGCTTTGCATAGTTTGTAAGAGTCTAACCTTGTTTTGTAGGCCAGCATGTTTGTAACCCTTTGCAGGTTTTAGGGCAATCTCCTTTGCTCTTGCAGCCCACAATGAAAATGTTAGACATGAATTGAGTTTAAAGAGTCACAACTTTTTTTGTAATAGCAACTATCTGCAATTGGATGACCTTAGCTTAGCTATTTCCTGGGGGCATCCCTAACTTGAGGATAAAGCTGGGAGAAGTTCCTACCCTCTCCCTATTTGAGTGACATCACCAGGCACTGGATCTGAAAATTTACTCGTCTGTGACTTTCTTCAGCCACTTGCATTGAAGGCAAGTCAAGAGAGGCTGCTGGATGCTGGTCAGCATCATTCAGAGCAGAGGTTGGCAACCTTATCCGAGGATGGGCCAGTCAACGCTCCATCTGTCAGAGGATGAGCCAGAGCGTGTGCACACACACGCTCTTCTGGGTTGGAGGCATAGCTGTCAGCCGTCCCTTATTTGGCGGGAAACTCCCTTATCCCAGCACCGTGTCCCACTGCCGTCCCTTATTGATGATGTCCCTTAAATTTCCCGGGTTTCAAAGGAAGCAGCTCCTCTCCCTCCCTCCCTGCCGGCCAGGGAGGAGGGAGGCTCCAACTGTGTTGCTTGGCTGCATTGCTCACCCAATAAGGAGTCTAAGAACGACTGGGGGGTGGAGCTTGCATGCCTTGTGCTGATCAAATTGGCCGCGTTGCCTGGGGACTCGCCTTTGCTCAGCGCTTCCCAGCGGAGAGGTGACGGTGGTTTTCCTTGCTGCATCCCCTTTGCCGGGTTGCTGTGCTGTGGGAGCCACCACTTGAGGCTTCGTTTGGTTGCTGGCTGGGCTTTCTGCCTTCGGCTTGGAGGGGCTCAGAAGTTGAACATACCTGTGCTTGGAAAATCCCTTATTTTGGCTGCTGATCCCTTATTTTTGAGGCTGCTGGTCCCTTATTTTCAAATCTGTAAGTTGACAGCTATGGTTGGAAGAGGGCCCGTGGGCGTGCGCACACACTATTTCCAGCACTCCTCCGACCCGACGGTAAGAGTGGGCGGCGGCAGAGGGCACCATGGGCCAGTTAGATAAGCCTTGTGGGCCGCTACCGGCCCATGGGCCCTAGGTTGCCGACCCCTGATTCAGAGGGATGATTCCTCCAGAGCCCCAGGACAGCTTCCCCTTTCATGTTCCCTCAGACCCTCTGGCAATAAGGGATAGATCAGATAAGCATCCCTTCACCCGTCCTGGGATAGGAACATAGGAAATTGCCTTATATCAAGTCAGACAATGGTCCATCAAGCTCAGTATTGTCTGTACTGGTTGGCAGCATCTCTCCAGAGCTTCAGATAGGGCTCTCTCCCAGCCTTACCTGATGATACCTGGAGAGCTGAGGGATTGAACCTGGGACCTCCTAAATGCAAAGCAGATGCTCTACCACTGAACTATGGCTCTTCCCCCATGAAGGAGAATTTCATACCATCTACATTTTTAAGCAAACTGCCCTGATTCAAATCTCCTGGATCAATACACAGATTGGAACATAGTTGCTGCCCAGATTTCGTAAAGTCCTTACCAAACTTTAAGGTACGTACTCGGAAATTAAATACAATAGAAATACCTTGCTGAGATTAAATATGCTTTTAAACATTATTTTGTGATGCAGTTATTTTAAATGCATTTAAATGCATTTAAAAACATGCAAGCATTGATGTGGATTTTTTAAAAAATGACAGATGAATGGCAGAATAGACAGCTTAGAACTGACACATGTATGAATGAAGACATGTGAAACCGACATGACCAAGCTTAGAAAGAGCCTTTTTGTGGTGTGGAGTATACAAAACAACAACAACCCCAAATGAGGTTCTCTTGGCCAGTTATGAGAAATCCCCATAAAATTCATTCTCAACTCAAAGAAGGGCAATAAAGTTAGACTTGCTGTGCAATGAAAAGATGGGTGGGTGACCAGGAATGAGGGCAGCACTGTCAGTGAGATGCAGTGATTAGAGTGTTGGTCTGAGATCTAGGAGACCAAGATTCTGACTTAGCCTTGGAGCTCACTGGGTGACCTCTGGCCACGCACTTACTCTCAGCCAAACATACCTCATAGGGTTGGTGTAAGGATAAAATGGAGAGGAAGAGTAACCATGTATGCCACCTTGCGCTCCTTGGAAGAAAGTTGGGATATAAGTGTAATAAATAAATACAATGGTACCTCAGGTTAAGAACTTCAGTCGTTCTGGAGGTCCGTTCTTAACCTGAAACTGTTCTTAACCTGAGGTACCACTTTAGCTAATGGGCCTCCCACTGCTGCCATGCGATTTCTGTTCTCATCCTGAAGCAAAGTTCTCAACCCAAGGTACTATTTCTGGGTTAGCAGAGTCTGTAACCTGAAGCGTCTGTAACCCGAGGTACCGTCTTGGGTTCCGTCTGTTCTTTGCCTTGCTTTACTACTGTTTTGAGCCTTTTCTGTGAAAGGTTTTGTACACAGAGGCCACGAAGGAAGAGTTTATTTGAGATGATTCCTCAGGCTTTGGTTTAAATCTCATCAACCACTTATTAGAACCTGATGCAGGTGTACTGCTCCCAATCTCTTTTGTTCAGAGATGGGGAACAGGTATTCTCCCCCCCCCCGAAATGTGAATTCCCCTCCCACTATAATGTTTATTCCCCCCTCAATAATATGAATTTGTAATTATGTACATTGGGCCAAAATGTGCCACATACTCTCAACTAAAAAGACTAGAAAAGCATTTGTTAAATTACAAAGTAAGCCAAACCGTGTCTCACTTTATATTTGGTGCCTTGCTTTGTTTTTGGGTGTTGTCATTTTTATTCTTATTCTGACTAGGGTTCTCTAAACATGGAAGTGGGCTGGGCCTCTCTGAACCTACAAGAGGGCCTGCCTGGCGGCCACCTGCTAATCATAACCCTCCCCCTTATGCTATGCCTTGAAGTGATAAGAACATAATAAAATCCTTGGTGGTTCAGGTGAAAGGTCCAGCATCCTGTTCTTACAGTGGCCAACTGAGAGACCCACAAGGAGGGCAAAAGAAGGACAGCTCTCTCTTCCATTCATGATACCCAACAACTGGTATTCACAGGCAATCCAGAACCAAATGGACCGATTGACTTGACTTTGCAAAAGGCAGTTTCCTATGTCCTAAATCGGCCTTCACCATGGGAGTTGTGTTAGTCATTAAGAATATAAGAGAAGCCCCAGTGGATCAGGCCAAAGGCCCATCTGGTCCAGCATCCTATTCCCAGAGCAGCCAGCCAGATGCCTATAGGGAGTCCTCAAGCAGAACCTGAGTACAACAGAACATTCAAGACATTGAGGGGGCAGGGAGCAATGATGACTGCCAGGAGGCAGCTGGTGAGAGTACTTCCACTGCCATCACTAAATGTTTGACCAGCCCCTCCCCCAAATCAATGAAGTAGTGCCTGGCTCATCCTTCACCTCTTCCAGTTTTCCACCAAAAGTACTCATTTGAGAATTTTCGGCTCAGCCCGAGTTTTATTGTGTGCTATATATGGTTCATATCTTACCTCAATGACAAGTGTGTCATTCCAGCTGCAGTTAAAGATGCCCTCCCTTTGCAGTTAGCCATTCAAAACTGCCAAAGTTTTCTACATGATTGTATACTGGTATAGTAAATCTAATTGCTGTCCTTAACTGGGAGAGGTAATTTTGGTTTTGCTCCACCCTGTTCACTTTGCTAGAATCTTTGAAATAAACATTTTTAGCCGTTTTGTGCCTCAGTATCAGCGTGCAGAGTATTGTCTACCAAAAGCAACCTAATTCCAATTTCATTGTAATTTAAAGCACATCCTTTACATATCTCAGAAAGCAAGCAATCGTATATGCAGTTGGACTGGCTGAAGACACAAGCCGAACTGATGTCCAGCTAAGAAATTTCAGCCAAACAAATGTCAACAAAGGCTTTTTGGAATCCTTCCCAGCTACTGGGTGTGTGAGGCATGAGGTCTGTTTGGAGGCAGATGTGGACGGAATAGCTTAAGCGTGTTAGAACTGGAGGCGGGATGTTCCATGGAGAGAATTGCAACTCCTGGAGTTTATCACTTTTGGGTGTTGCCAAAGCTTTAAAATAAGGTCCAGTGAGAACTGGAGTGTATTGCAAGGGGGAAAAAAGGTTTTGTAAACACTTATTGGAGACCCAAAGAGCACTTCATGGCCAATATGCAAATATTTCTTTCTTATAGTTAGCTTTTTAAAACTCTAATTCCATGTACATTTACTGGCAAATGAAGCCCACTGAATACAGTGGGATTTACTTCTGAGTAAACACACTTGACATTGGCTTGCACAGCTGTGGTCCTCACACTTATTCGAAATCACTGGGGCTGTCTGAACATAGCCAAGTTTAAGATGGGCCAATGATCAGATTCCAGACCAGGCATACAAACAAGTGGGATGAGGCGAAGAAAGGAGAGGCGAGTTTGTTCTAAATATGAGTGGGTCCAACTGAGGTGCTATGCTTTATGTTACAGATAGATCCTGACTGGCCTGTGGGGTCAGCTTTCAGAATCCAGGCTGGTGCTGAAGTCTAGAGGGCTCCCTTGACTCACAGAACTTCTTATGAGCAGCACTGGACATAAGGCATTGGAGACTGGCTGCTGGAAGCCCTGTTTTCATATCCCACATTCCCATCAGCACTTTGCAGACTTCTAAGTGTAAACATGGGACGTGGGTGGCGCTGTGGGTTAAACCACAGAGCCTAGGACTTGCTGATCAGAAGGTCGGCAGTTCGAATCCCCGCGAAGGGGTGAGCTCCCGTTGCTCGGTCCCTGCTCCTGCCAACCTAGCAGTTCAAAAGCACGTCAAAGTGCAAGTAGATAAATAGGTACCACTCCAGCGGGGAGGTAAACGGCATTTCCGTGCGCTGCTCTGATTCGCCAGAAGCAGCTTACTCATGCTGGCCACATGACCCGGAAGCTGTACACCGGCTCCCTTGGCCAATAAAGCGAGATGAGCACCGCAACCCTAGAGTCGGTCACGACTGGACCTAATGGTCAGGGGTCCCTTTACCTTAAGTGTAAACATGCATACAATTGGACTATATAGCTTGAACCCTATGCTCACTTATCTGGGAGTAACTACCATTAAACACAATGAAACACATTTCCAAATAAACATGCATAGCGGTCAGGCATTACCTTAGCTGGAATTATAGGTTTTGCTAGTATTCTGCAGTTTATTTTAAAAATGCATACGCTGCCTCATTTTCAAAGAGCTTAAGCTAATAAGTGAAATTCAGTACTCTGGAGTGTGAACATTAAAAACTCAGCAACTTCACTGCTGAGAAAATGCAAATCCCAACTAATCTCAACATTGAGATAAATCCATGCTCAGATTCTTGCTGACGATTGGCCCTTTGCCACTTCCTTAGGATATCTCCAGGAGTCTTTCCAGATGTATCCATTTGCCACATACAGTGGTCATGGACTTGTACTCAACTTCTTGTGACAGTGTTCTTGGAGTTTACATTTTGCATGCAAACAGTAAAGCTGTGCAGGCCATTCCCACACTTGCGAAGATAGCACAGTTTCCCCTTCCATGCCATTTCAGCCATCAGGGACAGTCTTTTAGCATTTGTTTAGTTTGGATTTAGGTTCTGGTGCTGGTACTTGAGTTCTGTGGTTTACAGGTTGAAATCATTGGTTCTGTGTAGCTATTTTGCTGGTGTCTTAGAGCTCTGAACAGTCTCTTCGGTCTGAAATATCTGCTTTGGGATGCCCTGTGCCCCTAGCAAGAGCCTAGAACTTTATTAAATAACTGTGTACCTTTATTAATAGTGCGGGTCTTTGACCCCTTTTGTATGTCATGTGAGTAGTAATGAAATATAATGTTCCAATTACTTATGAGGAAGCAGTGTTAGAATTGTTGCATTTTTTTCCGAGAGTCGCAAGAGAGCATGAAGGTGTTGAAGGCTCTACTGGGATTGTTCATCAGTTGTGTTTTTAGTTGGACAGCAAGATTTAGTTGGATAATTGGTAGGGGCCAATTTTATTCAGAAAGAACACATTCCGATTAGCAGAGTTGGCATACATATTTTTAGGATATTTAGGTCTCTCTGTGTTGCTATAATAGGGAATGCAAAACTTTCCAAGGTTTAGCCGGTGTAAAACGATTGTGACAGCTGGTATGATCAGATTGGGAGCAATACACATTCAGCATAATTGTGTGCGCGCGCACACACATTTATGCCTGGAAGCTGTTTATGTTGCTTTTAATCCAGAGGATTTGTTGGGAAATGTTAGGCATCCCATCATATGGCATTTCATATTCGGTTCCTCAGTAACAGGGACCGTTAAGCAAAGTCAGTGCAAAATTGTTGCTGTTTAAGCTGTGGCTGTGGCAAATATTTTCCAATTTTGATATTCAGTTTGAAAGTAGCCCATTCTATGCAACTGAATAGATTCCTGGTGGGTGC